GTTATTAGGCAAGGGACATTCTGGCCTAATGCAGCCATGACTCCCCGACGGTCTTGAACGAATGGATTGACGCATGTGCTGATGTCTGCGTTCCGACTGTTCCTTCGCTCTCTCCCTCTCTCTTATGAGCCAGCTCAACGAGAGACAAGGGCAATATGCCACTATTTTGCCTACATAGCCCAAGCACTCAATGTGCTTCCACTCTAGATAGTACCTACACGGAATGGAGGCTTGTGACTAATTGTAATTAAGAATTCTATTAATGAGGATGACGTAGCAGAGAAAGGAAGAAATGATATTGCTGAAAATGGAATGATGATGCAAAGCCATACAAGTATTTGTGATCAGAAAGCAGACTGTTCCTCTATATTTCGACGTATTCTGTTGTTCCCAACACTGAAACAACCCACAAAGTCGTTTTCGTTTTTAGCTCACGGAGGAACGAGCTTCTAAAGGAGCTCGCTAACCAGGCGAACTCAGCAGTTGACTTGGAGTCAAAATTGAAGAATTAGAGAATGTAAGAAGTTTTTGAGAAGGATAAAGAGAGAGCTGGTAAGAAGAACAGAACGCAACACTACTGAGAATACCTGAGATTCTGAAGAAGAGCTAAACAGGAACACAATCCAATTTCTAGAGGTTTTGAATGCAACCTGATCACTCACCTCTTGAGAGGATGTACTCTGCGACAGCCAGCGGCCAAATTGTGACTCGGGCTCGGTTTTCGCCATCATACCAAACAAATTCGGCATAACACCATTGAATTGAGATGGAACAGCGGATGAGATGTTGAGATCAGATCTGCATAGGCAATTTCGTTGAAGTGAGAAAAGCAAACGAAACTTGGCACGCAGGACTGACCTGTGATGGAGACCCGCATCAACGCTCGAGGACGAGACATCACCGGCGCAGTTGCCGTCGACATCCAGATAAGTACGTGCAAATAGCCGGCGAATGTCTGTAGCCACAGTGAACTTCAAAGAGTTTCCAGTCTGAAGAAAGTTAAGTCTTTCTGAAATTTACTGAGGAGTTTGAAACGATGTGCTCACCAGGTATTGAATGAGATTCATGAGAACATCTTGAGACTCTGCTTCCCACCAAAACGAACGAAACCATTCTGGAAACGATATTCTCATGGTTTTTAAGAAGCGATAGAGTCTAGTGAGCTCAAACAAACATTCGAATAGTTAATGAAGGTTATTACACCATTGTTGATAGCCAAATCACGCATAACTCGAGGAAAAATATTTATTTTGTATTGACCGGAGCAAAATACACCTCTAGCTGGCAAACTTAGTATGTCAAAAATGATACATCGTCGCATATCCACATGACCGCGTATTAAGTAATGATCGTGCATGCGTAAAATGATAAAGAAGAATATCCCGAAACTTCTTCAGAAATGTTGATCCATTCTTGCATAGGGAATTTTGCAGGCAGATGACGTCGTAGTGACTTCAGAGGATATCATGCTCTTCAGCGAATTCTGAAAAAATAATGGTTGCGCTGCAGAAAGAACGAAGAGCTGTGAGTACACAGGTCGAATTGGCACTGAAGCAAGCAAATTAAGCTATTCGTCGAGGTTTTGCAGACAAACTGAACACATGTGACTGGGGTAAACTAGGCGTCACACTATGCTATACTTCATTTGTACAGGGTGGGGATTAAAGATTAAAGCGAAAGGTTACGATATGTTTGGACTGGGTTCATAGTGGAAGTGGAGATGCTGAATAATGCCCCAGTGGCGAAAAAAGCAAAGAAATCCGTCAAGAAGGCGCAAAATGGGACCCCTTTCTTTGCCCGTTGACCTCCGATAATGGACGAGCTAGCAACCAATTAGGAGGTCGTTGCACATGTTATGCTGATAGCCTCTATCATTTCAGCAAGCATCATGCTTTGATTGATCACGCATCCCATGAAAAGTTATAGGATACACTCTGGAAGTGGAATATCTCGTCACATTGGCAATCGAAGGGCGCTGCTGCTGGGGCGGAGCACAGACCGTGGCGGGGCTCAGAAAGGAATGGCAAGCCTTGTACGCTGCAACTAGCGCACCTTTGACCACAAAAACGCAACATTTCGTTTCCTTGGGCCCCTGACTACTGCTTCCAATGGTGCATGTACTTCCACGCTGCATACACACTTTATCGTAATCTCTCGCTTTAAGGTAACAAGAGCAGCTGCACGAATGTTTGAAATCTGACTGAGATAATTTCAACTGTTGCTATGAAGCACCAGAAAACCTCTCAAGAAGAAGGCACACGAGCGCAGAAAGGCCAATTTCGAATTCCTGCTGGGATGAATTTGCCGTTTACCACTAACACGCTGCCATGAATGGGTTGCAAGGACTACTTCGCTCCTTTGTCAACGTCAACATCTGCTTCGGGAAGTACCCTGTTTCCTGTTTCTTAACCTTCAAGCTAATATAGCTATGTTTCCGATTGTCATTTACATGCTGTAAAGATTTTCTGTGATCACTTTATCTTGTTACCGTAATTTGTGGCAACCCTACACGATTGGGAGTCCAAGTGTTAAAGGGCCATATCAAGTTCAGATTCAGGACTTGGCTAGCGATAACGTTGCGTTACAGAATAGCATACGAAGAGTAGAACATTCAGTCATTCGATCAACTACTTATTAAAGGAAAAGACTGAAGTTACTCTTCGAAAGAGATTTCTGCGTACAGTTGGAGAGCATCTTCCTGGGGCTAACAGGTGCGCTAGCATTTCTCACACGAATTCTCCGATGTATGAGGTCCCGGAATTGTCAAACAGTGAACAGTTTGAAAAACGAGCAAAGATTTCCCACTATGAAGAAAAAGTGGCGGAAGCCTTGATAGGTTAGCTATCATCAACAATCGCCCAAAACGCGTAGGATTTCGTCCATCGCAAATAAACAAATCGTCTCCGCCAGCGACGGATGTCAGCTCGGATCTATGTGTTGTTCGGACAGCAATTCAAAAGAGACGCGGTATTTAACTCACCGCTTCCTCAAAAGCCTCACCACAATGCGTAAGCCCTGCCTATCATGGCGTCGCTACCTTTGGGAAGGTGAGTTTTGCTGTCAAAGGCTCCTACTCGCTTTAATGAACTCTTGCTCAAGGACAACAACTCAATGATACCGTAACC